ACAGCAAACCAAAAGCAAATAAACAGTTATTAACCATTAGCCCAATTTAACCAGTAAACACAGAAATATACACCAACTATGGGTGTAATTCTATATGTGTATGTATAAGCAATTATAAATATAAATATGTATCTGTTATTATTATTTCCTTTCCATTTCATTGCAAAACGCAGTTCATCATCATTATCACGGTGCAAGCACAAGTGCACACACAGAGAGAGAGTCAAACACACAATGGAGTAGCAATAATAATTATTATAGGATAAACACAGAGAGCAAAAACAACAAACAAAACACAATAACATTAAGAAACAAAAAAAAGAAAAGAAATCCCAACAGGTGGAAAATTAGTTAGACTGTAGGGATAAATGCAAAAAAGAAGAAAAAAGAAAACAAAGGATGACCTGAGTCACACCACACCACCACCACTCAATCAGCACACAAGAATACAGGCCAGTGTAACCACAATCAGTAGTGGTACACGCACCCACACAGAACTGCTGATACTACTGCTGCTGTCTGCATCACCCTTCTTGTTGTTCGCAGGCTCAGGAGGAAGTGTTGTTGTTGTGGTGGTGGTGGTGGTTGATTCCTCATTATTTGTTATAGTATTGGGAGTGTCAGAGGTCGAGTTAGCTGAGTTATTGGTATCATTGGTACTCTCCGTAGCTGAAGTAGTGGGAGATGTAGAAGAAGGTTCTTTTACCGGAGCCTCTTGAGGTTCTGTGTTGCTTCTCTCTGCATCGTTAGTAACGTGCGTATCATTCTGCAGCTGAGAACTATGTGAAATTTCAGGTGACTGTTCCTGATCCGTGTTTTGGGAGATGTGTGTACTGTCAGAGTTCACTGTATTTATTTGATTGGTAGGTGGTTCGTGGACGCTATCGTTATCTGTCGATTCACTGTTTGGTTTCGTTTCCTTGTTTGACGGGCTCTCTACCTTTTCCCCTTTCTTTGCATTGTCAAGTTCAACTCTGCCTACTAAAACTGTTGAAGAAGAGGAGGAAGATGAAGCAGAGGCAGCTGATCGGTGATCTGCTCCAGGTAGCACTGAGTTAGAAGATAGAAGTTGAGAAGAAAGGAGATTATCTCCTCCTGATTGTGGTGGTTGATCTTTACTTTGAGGATTATGTTGACCCCCACCACCTAGAGGAATTACGTCTTTAGCCATTGTTCCTAATTCAGGACCATCAACTTTATCCTCCGTCTCTCTTCTTTATCATCTCTATGTTTAGGAGCACCAGGAATCTCTTGTAAATCCTTTGTTTTCCCTTCTGCTTGCGTTTTCTCAAGTGGAACACCGGGATGACCACCTCCTTTAGCAGCACCACCACCCAGTGGGAGGTCAACGCTCTCTTCAGAAACAAGATCACCAGCCAACACTAGACTGCAGGATAAGCACAACAAAAGAGCCAAAATACACATCACACGGCGCATCATCATCATCATCATAACGACCATCGACATTCTTCTTCTTGTTGGTCTCGTCACTTGAGTTCACAGGTCTATGCAGGGGGTGTGGAAAAGAGAAAGATGAATGAAAAGAAAAAGGGACACACATAGTGAGTGGATGCAGTACAACAAATACTCACAGTGGGATAGAGAGGGAAGCAGCAACTGTACAGTAAAGCAACAAAAAGGAATATCACGCTTGTAGTGATAATAATAATATGTATCCATTAATAGAAAAGAAAAAGAAAACACCCCACAATACCCAAATAAGAGAGAGAGAGCCAAACACACACACAATACTCTATGGCTCTAGTTTATATATATTAAATTACTGCACACACACATCTGTGTGTACTAGCAAGAGATGTATACCGTCAGTGAGCAGAACAGCCCAGTCCTTTGCAAACACACAACGGAAAAGCAAGTAATGGAATTATTAGAAAAAGAACACACACACACACAAAAGTAAAAAAAAAGATATTATAATTAAAAAAGAAAGCTGGTAAACAGATTATTAATTTATTCACCCATGGGGGATGTACGCAATTATAATTATGTTAGTATCACTATTATGTGTCCTCAAGTGAGTCCCACCGTTCAGTACACAGTAGCGGAGAACAACACAGCCACAATCAGTAGCGGTGCTGCAGTGCGCATCCACACAGGACTGACACTGCTGTCAGCATTAGCCTTCATCTGCATGGTGGAAGCGATGTTGCTGCTGATCTTTGACTCAGGTAAAGGAGATGGAGTGGTGGTTGGTGTTTCTGTGGTGGTGTTCACGGAGATCGGCGAAGTAGTGGTATTGGTTTCTTCTGTTTCCGTTTTCTCACTCACAGCCATGTCTGCGCCAGAAGCACTGGTATCTGTAGTCTCGTTAGTGGAAATGGTTTCTTCCGTTTCCGGTTTCGCACTCACACCCATGTCTGCACCAGAAGCACTGGTATCTGTAGTCTCGTTAGTGGTAGTGGTTTCTTTTGACTCTGGTGCGGCAGTCACATTAAAAGCTGGAGATGAATGCTGGGTAGGTTGGTCTTCACCGGTTACAGTGTTAACAGATGTGTTGTTCGGTGTTCCTTGATTACCATGTATAGCTACATTGGAGTCTTCTCCTTGTCTTTTTGTCGACGGTATTTCTTCATTATGTTCTGCAGCTTTATCATCACTTACAGGGCCGTCTGATGCAACCTCTTGCTTTGGAATTCCAGAGGCTTTTGCTTCTCCGAGTGTATCCCCATCACGTTCTCGACCTTCTCCATTAACCACTGAATTTGCCCTTTCAGGTAAACCAGAGCTAGGCGTACCACCCTGTTGGCTTAGTTCCCTCTCTTCGACACCACCACGTATTCCTGTATTTTCCTCCAATGTCTGGCCTGCTGAACTTTCTCCACGGTTAGTTACTTGCTGTTGCGGGTGAGATTTTAACCACTTCGCACAATTTATTCCTTCATATTCACGTGTTTGGTTCTCCCGACAAACCCTTTTTAACTCCTTCTCATGATGTTTCTCCCAAAGCTCATTATAAATAGCAGTATCCCAATCAACTAGAAGTTTTCCTCCATCAGTTGCAGTACCAAAAACAGCCATCACCGCCTTTGGCTGTCCAGCAGTAGTAGTGTTATTAGTAGTAGTGGTTGTTGTTGTTGCTGCTCCTCTTGCGGTACGCTGGCGGCAGAGGTCTGCGTACTTCCCACATGCAGACACACGGCTGCCCGCACCGCATGTGAGCCACTCGCTCTCAGCAGCGGGGCGTACACGCAGCGCACCGCCGGCCCCGCACGACACCTCCACAGCCCCACGGGATACACCACGGCCACTGGGACTGTCATTATCAACAGCAGCAGCAGCAGCCATGGTATACCCGCAGGCACAGCACAGCACAACGGCCAACACACACATCACACGGCACATCATCATCATCATCATGAGAGAGACAAAAATTTGTTTCACGTAAAAACACTGATCTAGAAAGAAAGAGAATCAAAAAGTAAAGAAAAAAAATAAATGAAGTATCAAACACGTTAGGACACACAAATCGATTACCATTATGGAAACTCACATCGTGAACGTAAAACCTACCAGTTAAAGAATGCAATACATCGCAATAACCTCAGTAAGAGTAAAAAACAAAAAACACCCACACTCACAAATATCTCAAAAATGGCTGAACGACCCAGCAAAATCATCACGCAAAAAAAGATATTAAACATTAGCCCAACATACCAAGTAAACACATAAATATACACCAACTATGGGTATAAGTCTATATCTGTATATATGTGTATACAAACAATTATAAATATAAATTCATCTGTTATTATTATTATTTCCTGATTTCCCTCACTGCAAAAGTCAGTTCATCATCATCACAGTGCAAGCCCAGGTGCACACACACACAGAGAGAGTCTCCAACAACGCACACACAATGGAGTAGCAATAATAATTATTATAGGATAAACATAGAGAGAGCAAAAAACACACACAAAACACATTAACATTAAGAAACACAAAAAAGAAGAAAAGAAATCCCAACAGGTGAAAGATTAGTTAGACTGTAGGGATGCATGCAAAAAAAAGAAAAAGAAAACAAAGGATGACCTGAGTCACACCACCACCACCACCATTACAATCAGCACACAAGAATACAGGCCAGTGTAACCACAATCAGTAGTGACACACGCACCCACACAGAACTGCTGATACTGCTGCTGCTGTCTGCATCACCCTTCAAATTTGGCATTATGGTGTTATTGCTGATTCCAGTTATAGTAAGAATTGTATTGGTGTTGGTGGTAGGTGAGGTTGAGTCCTCGTTACTGGTGATATTGAGAGTGACAGGGGTCTTGTTTGCTGTGGTGTTCCCTTCTGCTGATGCACCCACAGTATTGACACCATTTGTTGATTCATTCTCTGTAGTTGTCACATTATCAGTGGTACTGTTGGGCTCTGTGCTCGTGTTATTTAGTGTGTTTGAATGATCAGTAGATAAACCAGATTGAGTTATTTCACCAGGTGATGCATCTGTAGTAGGATGTGGTTTTGAGTCAGTAGTAACGTGGGATTCAGTACTTGTTGTACCTATGGTATTTGGTTCTTTATTGTGATTATCTTGTTGAGGACCGTGTGTGGTTCCCTTTATCTGTTCTTGTTG